AAAAGCCAAGGCTGCTGATGTCCCAGCAAACTTCTCACAGGACTGGGCTCCTTGATTTGCAGGGTCAGAGTCATGATTTCCTGGCACATTTAGTCAAATGGTCTGATCACACGTTTCAGCATTTCTCTTCCACCCCCGAGTCAGTTCGGCCGAGCCTGGGGTCAAACAAACTTGCAAGCAGCCGCCCAGAGCATAGCAACTCATTTAGATTTATTTGGCGCAGCGCCCGAAGGAGAGTCAGGCATACGAGAAGGTGGAACATGTGGCTGATTGCTTCCTTTGTCAAGAAAGCAGAACCGATGGTTCCTCTGTGATTGAGCATCGTGATCAAAGAGCCTGTGCAAAATTCCTCATCAAAAAGGGAAAAATACAGAACGGAGTTTCAAATTCTCATGGATTTTAAATTTCCTTGAGCCAATGAGGGTGGATAAACTCCTGAGTCTATTGCCCAGATAACCTTTAAACTTTAAACCAGGGCCTACAGTCAGGTTCCTAACAACAAATGACATGATATTTTCGTATATGTGCCCATGTCAGGATTCTGACATAAAACAATTGTTATAGTATCACAGTTATAGTTTATGAATATTGTACTGTTTTAATATGAGCTTCAATATAAGCAACAGCCACAGCGGGTGCGGGATGGTGGGGTGGGGGCAGGAAAGTGACTTGAGCATTATGCTCATAAAAAAGACTCAATGCCATTGAGTCAATTCTGACTTACGGCGACCTTATAGAACTGCCCTTGTGGGTTTCCGAGACGCTAACTCTCTACAAGAGTAGAAAACCTCATCTTTCTCATGATGCTTTTAGATGAACTATCAATATGGGACCAAATTTATAACAGCAACTTGAAAGATTACATAGGAAACTTACAGGACAGTGAACTTATGTTAATGGAGGAAGAACAACTCAAAAAGAAGGGTGAAGATGCTTGCACAACTTGAAGCGTGTAATCAATGTTACTAAGACATGTGGTAACTGTTGAATTGGTGTATGTTCTCAAGGACAACAGAACACTAAAACATTTTCTATTTAAGAAAAAACATTCGACTTTAAAGTTCCTTTGGAGAAGGCCAAGTGCAGCTATTATTATTAGGCCTTGGTTTATGGAAGACCAATGTAAAAGCAAACCAGCATTACTTTTAGCCCATAAGGGATTACTCTTTTATTAGTATAGTCTTGAGATTAGTTGAAACACCTGTCTAATGAATGAGCTACTATATATCTGAGCATATGCCTGAATAAGCTACTTGTTGACGGAAGCCTATCTATTTATACGCACTTCTGCATGTTGTGGAAATTTCGTCAGCAACCCAAACCAGCTCCTCCCATTTAAATAGAGGCTCTTTGCCATTTCACTATAGAGCCTGTTGAGCGAACAGCTAGAACGGACTGTGCTGCGTCCATGTCAGGTTTTATGCCTCACTCTTGGCCTATAAAGTACAGTTACCTTATCTAAACAGTGGGCTAGATGGAATTGGCTCTTATAAAGATTGAAACGGGGAAAAGAGACTTTCATTAGAGTAGTCCAGAGTTTTAACCCAATTGATTCACCATACTTTGAATAAATCATCACAAATAGCCCAGTAAGTCTGAGAAATGGATGGAATTACAACATAAACCTAGGCATCATTGCTTCTTTACATTTTGCTCATGAAACCACACTAAC